ATCCACGATTAACATTTGGATTCTATTTCACCCCCATCTTCACCCTACCCTGTTCGGGAAACAACAACAATGGAACACACAAACAATGGAAGTGGTCCCTGGCCAAAGAGAGCATTAGGTAATTATGATATGTAATAATGCCTTAGGCACAATGCCGTGCCAACTGATTTTTGAATTTACTTGGTTATTTCCCTTACACTATGATGCAATAACAGACATGGTATTTCTATGTGAGGCCAGATGGAGGGGCTTCAGAAAGTGGAATTGAAGAAAATGGCATTTCCCCCACAAACTTTGAAGCCCCTCGTGCATCATTCCATTGCTACAGACCAAGTATGGGGAACATCTGGCCCCCTGGCCTAGAAGGCCCTTGAGATTGTTAACGTTTTATTGTGCCAACCTGGCGGATAAACACATGTGGGCTTAATTGAAGGGTGGAGAGATAAATGGCTCTGTGAGCCTCTCCTTTCTAGTTCTCAGGTCTCTTGCTTTGTGATGGTCTGACCAGGGTGCAGCTGCCTTAGCCAGTTCCCTGCTTCAGCTGGCAAGGCTGACTTCCTGCAAGACATCCCTGAGAAGCCACATGGACCTACCCCGATGCAGTCCTGGGTCCTGGAGCAGCCATGTGGAGACCCCTGCCAGCACTGAGATGCTTACACACTCATTGATTCCGCTTTCCTCCTGCAGTCGGTATCATAGCGTGTGTTGTGAGATGGAGGAGGACTTTGTGGATTAGTGTTGGACATATGGGTTAATGGCAGACTTGTGGGTGTGGGCAGCACTGGGTTGAGATGTTTTCTTGATGTGCACTTACCCTTTATATAAAACTCTCTTATACATATGAGTGTCTGTGGATTTGTTTCTCTAAAGTATCAGACTAACACACCCCTCAGAATCATCAACACTAGTGAACACCACACATCTCCCATGAGGGGTGAGTGAGCTAATTAAATGTTTGAGGAGAGCAGGCCAGTTTAGAAGTTGACCATTTTGTCTAGCCTTCGAATGAGGTAATAAATATACAACCCAGCCCTTGATGGGAAAAGGTTCCTGTCTACGTGTGGCTGAGAACCAGCAACAGCAGGCATCACCTAGCAGCCTGCTAGGAATGCAAATTCTCAGGCCCACTCAGAGCTACTCACTTTGAGAGAGAGGAAAAAAAAGTTCATAAGAAGGCCACCTTGAATATAAGTCAGAAACTATTACTGATGATCATACATCTATATTCTCCTGCTTGAGTTCATAACTGGATGAGGGGCTCTCTCAGAGGTGGGAGATCTACTGCTGGGGCATCTCATGTTTCTTGGAAGTGACAGTGGGCAAGGGCCCAGCCTGCAACCCCTGCAGCCCTCAAGGTAGTCCGTGTTCCCTGCGGGGCTCGGGGCTCGGGTGGGAAGGGCATTTATTCCTGGAAGGGCCCAAGAGGACACAACTTTTGGCTAAGTCCTTGAGACCAAGTCCCCTTTCAGTGGACTTTCCCCTCCACTTTTGGGTTTTTCCCACTACTGGTCCCAATGGCTGCTCCACCTTCCCTGGTAGAAGGCAGGTTCGTGAGGCCCTTCACAATGTCAAAAATCTCCTGCCACTCTGGCAGCCGACGACTCGCCTTTCTCTTCTGGGATCATTTCTCTGAGGTGACCTGGAGCTAGGTACAAACTTAACACCCAGCAGGATACTCTTCATGGGAGGTTCCCACACAAAATAGCCCTTGGGATAGCCAGGATGGATGAAGACTGTTTGCCAGGACTCACCAGAAAGCAGCCTCCGGAGACCGCATGCGCATGGCATACACTCAGGAAAGCCCCGTGGACCCACCACTCAGTACACAGGACTGGTCTGGATTGTCTTGGGCTGGTGCTGCTCTACATTATGATTGGTTTTGTCTGAGATAATACGGTTGCAACCGAGCACGGAGGAAATGTATCCTCAGAGTTTGGCAATGGGCTTTCAGGTAGCTTGAGTTACTGCACATTGTTTTAAGGGCTCTTAGAGACAAACGCATGGTTATGAATCGCACTGCACAGGGCAGTGCTCAATGGAGTGAGCACAAAACCAGCAATGCTATTAGGAATTCAATCTTCAGATTACTTTACACATAGAAAGAAACACTCGTTTTAATGAGCACTTAAAGGCTCGAAATCAAGGGCAAATGCTTTAGAATGGTAATTTAAAATTGTCATGTGTATCAGAACCACCTTGACGTTCATTAGAAGTCCAGAGTCCCTGGGTTTCAAGAGCTTATTTTGGTAGCTCTGAGGTAGAGCTGCAGAATGTGCATTTTAAAAGCACACTAAGCGATTTCAGTGCCCAGAGTCCCTAGCTTTCATTCTGAGAAACCTTGCAAGACTGAAGCTGTAGCCTAACCAGAGAAATGAGAAGCCTAAGTGTGAAGGGGCAAGGCTCAGCCAAGTTCGTAGGAGGTGTACCTTCTCTGGGGCCTTCAACCAGCACTTGCTGATTCCGCCTATTTCTCATTTGTGTACTCGCCTGCCTCAGCCACTCTCCTCCCCACCCCTGGCCCACAAAACAAAAGAGCACCAACTAATCTGTAAACTATTTGAAATACAGAAATTGTGTGGCACTTAACTTATATATTTTCAGCTGATCTTACCCCCTACCTTCTCATTATTAAGGGGGTCAACCGATCACAATATAAACCCCAACACACTCAGGGGGATAAACAACAGGAATGTGGGTGACACAGCAGTCAGTGCAAGATATGAAAATGATAATAATTTACAATTGATCAAGGGGTCATGAGGGTGGGAGGGTGGGGAAGGAGTGGGGGAAAAGATAAGCTGATATCAAGGGCTCAAACAGAAAGGAAATGTTTTGAAAATGATGGAAACATATGTACAAATGTGCTTGATACAGCTGATGTATGGATTGTCATAAGAGCTGTAAGAGCCCTCAATAAAATGATTTATTTAAAAAAGGGGTCCATAATGTTAATGAATAAATGATGCAGACAATAAAGATAAAAATGTTATTTAAAAAATGTGCTGCAAGGGTTTATGTGGGGCCCTTTCACCAATGGTGGGACCTGCTTTTTGAGTCCCTCACTGGTGCCTCAGCCCTGCAGCTGTAACCCGAGATGGGCCATCTCTGTCCTCCTTCCGAGGAAGCATGAGTTACTCCAGGTAGCACAAACGAGGCCAATTTCGAAAGCAGTTTGTATTCCTACAACTTCCATAATTAAATTACTATCAGCTTTGTCTTAGTCTCTTGAGGATTCTGTCCTGAATGTGGTCTAGGTTTGGTGGAAGGTTAGGAACTGGAATAGAACGGTTACTGAATGTCTACTATGTTCCAGCTACTTTGCCTGGTGTTTTGTAGATGTAACCCATGAAAAACTGCTACAAGTTTTTCTCTTTTGCAGACGAAGAAACTAGAGTTCAAAGGGGTTAAATAGCTTATCTGTGAGACCAGTGGTGGAGTCAGGATTCAAGCGAGATGGTGTCCAGGGCTCAATCTCTAACCGTGCAACTTTTCAGTTGGCCTCTTCTTTCCAGAAGATGTGGAAGAGCAGCAGCAGCATTCGCTAGACATAGGAAAGACCGTCAAGAAGGTAGTGTGGGGCAGTGAACGCTAACACTCTACTTGTCCTGAACATAGGTGTGATTTCAAGCCTTAAATCACCCATCTGCAAACTAGATGACCTGGGTGATCAGATGGCCTACTTTGCTAGGCCCAATTACACTCTTGATAACATTCCTGTTTACTTCGGGAAATAGCTCCCATTATGAACTATAATTTCTTACCTCCTTATGTTTTTGGTTTTTGTTTTGTTTTGTTTTTTGCTTTAATTTCAAATTGAAATTAGTATTTCTTCAGTGATTGAAACATCAGTTTTCAGGAGGGAGCCTGGGTGGCATAGCAGCTACTTGTTGGACTGCTAACCACAAGGTCAGCAGTTCAAAACCACTAGCCACTCCACAAGAGAAAGACTAGGCTTTCTACTCCTGTAGAGTTAGTCTCTGAAACTCAATAGGAGCAGTTCTGGGTTGCTATGCATCAGAGTCAACTTGCTAACAGTGAAAGAGGGAAGCCTGTAAGGTATCAAACTCAACCCATTGCCATCAGTTCTTATCCATAGAGATTCTATTTTCTAGTTTTCTGTAAGGTATATGGGATAGATAACATGTGAGTTGAGGGGCCCTTTGTCTAGACATTGCTTTGCATTGATGGTAACGAGTTTTTCTGCTAATGCCCCTTCCCTTTAAAAGTACACTAGCAAATTCCCTTCTAGATTAGGTTCCAGTTAATTTGTGATTATAGAAGTATAATTTACTGACCGTGAATATTGAGTGTTTATAGTAAGTCAGACACAGGGCTGAGTGCATTATCTCACGTAACGCATAGACTAATGCTATATGGCACTAATCTTACAGATAAAGAAATTGAGACTTAGGGAAGTTGTAAGTAATTGATGGAGCCAGGTCACTGTAATTTTTAACCATTGTATTGATACGTACACACACAGAGCATGAATAAATAAAATATTAGGAAGTCTCGTAGGGATTCTTATGAGCCCTGGTAACATAATGGTTACACACTGGGCTAACTTCGAGGTAAGCTGTTCAAAACTCCTAGCCGCTGTGCAGGAGAAAGATGGGTCTTGCTACTCCTGTAGCGTTAGTCGTGGAAACACACTTCCACCCTGCTCTCTAAGCTAGCCACCAGTGTGAACTGGCTCGCTGGCAGTGAGTTCTCCTAGATTCATCAGCGTCACCTCCAGCCTCCACAACTTCATCTTCCACTCCCACTGTCTACCTTCACCTTAGAACAGAGCATGCGTCTCAAGTAAAGAGACAATAGCTTCTCACTGAGGTGCAGGTTATCAAGAAAGACCAACAGAAAGGAATTCAAGTCGATGCAATGACTATGTAGACAAACTGTGCTTGGGGAGAGAGTTGTCTTATCATGAAAAGCACACAACAGACCCTTGCTTTTTCATCAACACAGACAGGACCGAAGGAAAAACCACCCGTCGACACGCCTACCATTCTGTTTTCTTTATTGTCTCGCTGCTAATGTACAGAGATGCAGAGGTCTAGGGCAGACTCTACCCATCCCCCGAAGCAATCATCACGGCGTATCCCCAACCGTGCATGTCTGCACAGCACAGAGGTGTGAAGCATTCTCCCTCTCCCTCCAGTAGTCCCCTGGCGATGAACAGGATCAAAATGTCATGCCAACATTTGCTGGGCACTTTAATGGTCTTCCTATTTTTGCTACTGAAATAAAAGAAGTTTGGTATCACAAGTTAAAGTATAAATGCTTAACGGTTGTTGGTTTGCCACTTTGCTGGTTGACAGCCACAGCAAACAAGTGGAGGCAAGGCCGTGAGGTGTTCCCTTAGCAAGGCTGAAGAGCCCAGTCGCTGGCCTTTGAAAGTGAGGCCATTCCTCTTTGGGGGTCGAGTGGAGAGCGTGGGCACTGAGCATGCTGTAACCATATTTCAGCTGGCATGGCCACATGGCCCAGGTAGCAGGAGATGAAGTGCTGGACTGTATGTGTCACGTAGCTACCAGAGCTTGTCTCCTCGTCGCTGCACCAGGCGGGGCCGTATTTCTTGTCAAAGTCCTTTTTGTTATGGGCTGCCACATCCTCTTTTCTCTCTCCAATGCCAGGGTAGCGCCCTCCACTGGTCCTACCACACCCCCTCCGACACATGCACTTTTTTTTTTAATCACAGCTTTTTTTACGTCGCAAAGGAGCCCCAGTAACGAAAGGAGGGGTGGTTCAAGTCCACTAGCGGCTCTGAACCTACCAGCTGCTCCACGGTAAAAAGACGTGGCAGTGTGTTTCCAGGAAGATTTACAGCCATGGAAACTCAATGGCACAGTTCTACTCTGTCCTAGAACACAGCTTTGGGCGGGAACTGAACTCCGGGGCAATGAGTTTGGTTGGTTGTTTATCATTCTTCTTCTATTGCACAATTACTATCGAGCAAGGACTGGCCGACTGCGCAGGCCAGCCTCCCATGACTGGGGCTAGAGGGGCTCATGCCCAGTGGGAGCCGCCCAAAGGCCGGTCCGGCTTTACAAATAGGTGAATCAACCATCCGCTACTTACACATACAAAACTGACTTCTCTCAAATCAGACAGTAAGGCACCACTGGATTAAACATTTTCTTGGTTGTTACTAAATAAAATGCACAGTGAAATAAATACTGAACCCTAGGTTTTAACACTGTAATATATTTCAATATAAAATGATATGTGAATGTTAAAATACTGTATTGTATCGTGAATCTGGAAATTTTATGGAAAACAAAAGCACAACAGCGAATAAAGTACTCATTTTTGTGACTTGCTAGAGTTTAGGGTTTTAGAATAGAACCCATTCAACATTTTGGATGCAATGAGCTCGCTCAATTTCAAAGCAGTTGTATAGGTGTACTAATGAAACATTCACTTCAAAATACATTCAAGCTCATCTCTATTCTGGATCCATGATAACTGTGAGCTATCACCCTATTTCAGACTTTCTTGTGGTCCCTGCAAAGGTGAGCCTACAAAGACATTGGCCAGTACTTACTACGCTTCACCAATTCAGACCCACTTTCTCTGGGTTCAACTTTTCTTGGCCACCCTCTCCAGGAAACCCAAACTTCATCTTTTCTGAAGCGGGTAGATGGCATTCATCACGAGAATGTTTATCACTCCTGAAGTTCGAACAAAGAATCCAAAATGAAAGGATGCTGATAAATTGCCAAAATGCTGGAGACAAAACACGTTGGGAAATACTTTGCCAAGTTTGTAACACCTTTATGGTTCTTGATCCCCTCTGGGTAACACGCACCAAGGGACTGCATGGAAAATAGATCTGAGTACTAGAGGATTGGGGGAAAAGAAAACCAAGTTCTTGAAAGTATTAAGTCCAGGACTTTGGCAGGGAGAGTTACAAAAATACAATCTATTCAAATTGTTAACCTCATAATGTTAGACAACCCAGGTTCTTTTGCTTTTATATAAATTCTATATGTAGGAATGCATGTTACAGATTTTTCTTTGGATTGACATCATGATTAGAATCTTCTAGCAATATATGAACAATACATTGAAACCACAAGACAAAGTCTAGGTAGCTATATATATACATTTGTGGTCCTGTGCTTTTAAAAAATAATGGCAATTTTAAACAGAATCAACCACATAAAACACCTTGGTGGAAACATGGCTTTCCATCTCTAGAGCTAGATTTTTAAAATCCCAGGAAGGTTCTGTAAACAAAATTCTACATTAAAAAGGCAAGGCTGGCTCTTCCTATGGTCCTTCAGTGGAGTTGTAGTTGCATCGATGCAAGGCAAATGTCTTTCCTAGAGTCCAAATAAACCCCCAATTCTCTCCCTACCCTTTCAATTCCTAAGCCTTAAATTCAGATTTCGGGAGCAAGTGCTATCTGTCGACCAGAATCTGTGCCCTTCTTCTCCGTCTCCGTTTTTTTTTTCTCCGTCTCTGCTTTTTTGCCACCTGTCCCTGACCTCCTTCCCAGGATGGAGTCCGCTGAGCCACTCCTGGCCCTGAGCAGCGTGGGTGTCCGGTGAGGAACAAAGGCTGTTTCAAAGGGCTCCGACGTGTCGACGTGCTCAGGCCAGCTGGGGGGGTGGAAGTGTGGGGGCGGGCTGCAAGACTCACGGGTTTTCCGTTTCTTCCCAAGGGTTTCCTCCCACGTGACTGTACAGGGCATTCCGTCAATGTCTGACCCTGGAATTAGGGTACTGTGAAACAACACTTGAATACAGATATTGGGGAGAGAGGAAACATAGGGGAGCAAAATCTAAGGCCAAGCTCTCTGTCCAACAAGGCCCCAACTTTATTTTTAAGGACCTCTTGAACTGCTGAAAAAAAATGAAAGAAAAGAAACGCTGAACTTAAAAAAGCCAAGAGCTTTTCCACTCGTCTCCATCTGCTAGGCCTGTGCTGTGCAATCCCGTGGCCCCGGGCACACGTGGGGATGGCGCCCTTGAGATGTGGCTGGTGCAGACGGAGATGCGCACTGCACACCAGACGTGGAAGATGAAGTACCAAAAAGGAATGTAAGATCTATTTTCATACTGGCTATAGGTTGAAAGGACACTATTTTGCATATAGAGGGTTGACCATTCAGATGTCACCTGTTTTGTTTAACTTACAAAATCCGGTCACTACAAAAAGGTAAATTGTTATTTGTGGCTCCCATTACCATATTTCTTACTTTGAGTGGACAGCTGTGTCCTAGACCCTCCCTCAGACTACCAAAGACTGGACAGCTGTAACCCCAAAGCAACATGGGAACCCTTACTCAAGCAACTTGCTTAGCTGGTCTGGTTCATGGAAACAGGCAGGCGGCTACGCATGCTTGAATGGCGTGGGAGTAAAGGCTCTCGGGGGCTTTCGCAGTCAGGGGGCTGCAGCAAATAAGCAGTGAGTGTTCAGATCCGGCTGGATGAAAGCCGGGCTGCAGTTCCTCTCCGCCTACTCGCCGCAAAGGCCTATGCTCCAAGCAGGCGGCACTGGCAGGTGACAGCTGAAGCAAACATAGCTTTGAGGATATACACAATATAAAAAGCTAGGTGAATTTCTGTACTGGATTCCCACCCTCCACATACATATTCCTACCTGGCCCTCCTTTCTTCCCTATGGCCAATACAAAGAGGATAAGGGCCAGAAAAGGGGAGGGGGGCCGTGCGATTCTTGGATAGCAACAACAGAGGCAGCTCTTGAGCGCGGTGGAGAAGGGCAGGCGAGGATCACCTTGGGATAGGAGGAAGGGGTGGGGCACCTCTTTCTCTTCGACTGGATCCACCTTGATGGACAAAAAGAGACCAATATTGAATTTTGATCAGAATGTCTTATATCCTCACAGTGGAATTTCGGGGAGGGTTGCAAAGGTACCCACTTATCTTAGCCACTAAGACCCAGGCAAACCCTGGTGGCACATTGATTCAGCACTCAGCTGCTGACTAACAGGTTGGCAGTTCGAATCCCACAGGCACTCCGCAGAGAAAGATGCGGCAATCTGTTTCCATAAAGATTTACAGCCAGGAAAACCCTGTGCCCCAAACGCTACTGGAGTCTGACTCATAGCAACCCTGCAGGGACAAGCAGAAGTATCCCTTTGGATTTCCATGACGGTACCTCTTTTTGGGAGGAGGGTGGCTCGCCTTTCTGGTGAGGAGCAGCTGGTGAGTTCAAACTGCTGACCTGGTGAGCAGTACAACACGAATCCCCTTAAACACTAGTAGGGCACCTACAGGGCAGGTCTACCCTCCCTATAGGGTCAGCAGGAGGCAGGTTTGATCCCATGGCAGTGTTCGGGGAGGTTTGGGGTTATGATCCAGGCTGGAAACAAATCAGCAAAGGTGGCTAAGAGGTGAGAGGTGAGAGACTGGAGCAAGAAGGTCTGAATGACACCCCTGGTTCCTGAGTGTGAGGACGCAGAAAGCAAACTTAAAAAAACCAAAACCAAACAAATGGATTTTTGCTCTATAAAAAACAGTACATGCTTATTGTAAAAGATTTTGAAAATATGCGTAAGAGCAAAATAGAAAATTCTCACCAAATTAGCTATCACGCATCAAAGACCCAGAACAAAAAAATCACAACGATGTGAATGAGGGGGGAGCATGGAGTAGAGACCCAAAGCCCATCTGTAGACAATTAGATATCCCCTTACAGGAAGAGACAAGCCAGTCCGGGTGCAGTATAGCACCGACAAAACATACAACTTTCCTCTAGTTCTTTAATGCTTCCTTCCCCCACTCTCATGACCCCACTTATACCTTACATATCTGTCTAGACCAGAGCATGTACAGATAAGAGCTCACAACACAGGGAATCCAGGATAGATAAACCCCTCAGGACCAATAATGAGAGTAGTGATACCAGGAGGGTAAGGGGAAGTTGGGGGATAAAGGGGGAACA